AGGACTGAATACCCTCATCCACTCTTTAAAACCCATCAGAAACTCCGACTCATTACAGAACTTGAAATCACTTCTGAAAACCCACCTGTTTCATCTGCCTTTCCTTCATTTTGTTCTTCAATGTTTATTTTTATATGTTTTGTAAAGCGTCTTTATAAAGCGGGCGGCACGGTGGCTGAGTGGATAGCACTCTCGCCTCTCAGCAAGAAGGTCCTGGGTTCGAATCCCGGTCGGACCAGGGCCTTTCTGAGTGGAGTTTGCATGTTCTCCCTGTGTCTGCGTAGGTTTCCTCCGGGTACTCCGGTTTCCCTTACCACTAAAAATATGTCCAATAGTTCTGGCATGGGCCTCCTGTACTGGCGACCCCGCTCCCATCTCTGTGTGGAGTGAGAGACAAATGCCCATAATTAACAATTGTAAACCGCTTTGAGACTCAGATCTGCAGTGAAAAGGCGGTATATAAAATAAAAACTTACTAACTTACTTACTTACTTCTTTGAGTGTTTGATGTATTATTTATTACTATTATTATTATTATTACAATTATCCATACCTTTCAAATATAATACATTTTCACAAACAGAAATGTTTGGACACTTACAGTGAATTGATAGTATGATAAAACCTGCGTATATGTGTGTCTGTACGAGTGTGAGTGTGTGTGTTTGTGTGACTGTGTGTGCGTGTGTGTGTGTGTGTGTGCCAAAACTAAATAATGTCCTCAGTGTGGAGTGAATACATAACTAGAGAAAGTCATTTCTGGAGGTGATTCACTTAGAAACACAGATACGGGTTGTTACGGGGAGGAGGAGGCTTGAAGCTGGAGGAATTCCCCCGCCTCCGAGGCCTCTGCGGCGAGCGTGAGCACAGAGGCTTGTCTGGGCTTATGCTGCGCCTCACTGTTTCCATATGAGTTCACCATGCTGTAGGCAAGTTTATTTGTATTGCACAGTTTATGCACAAGGCAACTCAAAGGACTTTACAAAACAACATAGAAACAATCATACAAGACACCAATGTTTTCAATCTGAGACACACCCTTACTCTTTTTACGTCTTCTTACGTTTTTTTAACACTGTGAGTTATGTATTCCTCTGTTTGTTAAGATAATATTAAGTGTTTTTTTTATTTCATTGTCCTGTTATTTTTACTTGAATTGCTTTTATTTCATGCATCTTATAGTAATATGTATTTTTTATAGTATATCTATTTTAATATATAGAATACATACATAATAAAGCCGACATATATATGTTTTTACTTCCATCTCTATGTAGCACATCAGAAAAGTGTTGTATAAATGTGCTTTACAAATAAAGTGGATTGGATTCATTGTATTAGAACAGCAAATTCCCAAAGTCAGTAACACCGCGGCCCCAAAATCTGGCGGGTCTGCGCGGCCCCCCGGAATAATAACCAAGAAGACAACGTTAAAAATAGGCTCTTCTCGTTGTTTTATTTGGGGGAAACAGCATCTGCTACGAACATGTAAATGACGCACCCCATTTTGTAATATAAAAATGATTACAATTTGATTATTCAAGTCAAATAATGAGCACAAATATTTTAATTTTACAAACAAAATATTATTAATTTAACATACAATAATTATATACATTTTTAAAAATGTTTTTGATGACTTCTCGCGGCCCCACTTTGGGAGACACTGTATTAGAATATCAAATTAAGAGTGAATATAAAATACTTCAGTTGTTGCAGCTAAACAGAACTGTTTTTAACCTACGTTTGAACATTGTCAGAGAAGAAGCCTGTCTCACTTTTTCAGGAAGACTGTTCCAGATTTTAGCTGCATAAATCTGAGACGCTTCCTCCCTATGTTTAGTCCTGACCCTGGGCACCAGCAGGAGGCCAGTCCCTGTGCTCCTCAGAGTCCCAGTTGGTTCATATGGCCCTAACATATTACAGAGTGTGTGTGTCCAAAATGGCGTCTCCTTGCAGTGTGTACCTGTGCTGGACGCTTGTGTAAAGTGAGTAGGAGCGTTATGTAAGCGATAAATGTGTAATGAATGCGTGAATGAGTCACGGTCGCCACAACTCTGAGATGCTTCCTCCGTCGGGGAATACGGCAGAATTATGAGTGTGAGAATGAGAGATAAATACTAATCTGAGGGGATTACAGGTACAGATAGTGGCACCTTCTGCGGCACAGAGCCCTATGCTCAGATTCTCCTATTGTGCAATATATTGTGCTTGGAAGTTCAAAGCACAACAAGTGCAATGCGCAACTTTTCTACTGCCGTTTGTTGCCATGGAGATGTTATGCATGGTTTCATTGGTTTGCAACTTTGACATGATTTAATTATAAATGTTTACAGCTCAAAGCTATGACTTCTTACACCGGGTTCCTCTCGCCGCAGATTTGACCTGAAACTACCATTTTGTCTCCAATGTAGATCCATCTATCCACTTTTAATGCCATATTGTGAGTCAATTCTATCTGTAGTCTAAAAGTGAGAACTGATCAAAGGCAGACTGTGTTTAAACATTTATACCAGAACATCCATCCTCTGTTTAAAGCGTATCTTTTGCATCTGTGGTTTTTGTTTTAGATGTATTATTTTACTTAACAAGGACCTTTTAACCCTAGCATTCCTTTTATATAATATTTTCTGGCATTGCATATTTCTTTGAACCAAATTAGTTCAGTTATGGTTGGATTGAACTGAATCAAAGGTAAAGGAGGATTGTTATTGTAGATTGTCTATTAAACTAATTTAGGATTCTGAGAAGACATTGTGGTTGGTTTTTTTGACGAGATTAGCTTTGACAATGTATTCCATGCCTTGGTTGCTCACAGCAACCTCTTATCATCAATGCTTATAATAATAACAGCTGTAAACAAAATTGGGGCTTTGTCTCATTGGCAACTCTTGTTTTAAGACGGTCAGAATGTACTCAAACTAAGATAAAAACCTCTTGATTCAAGCAATTATGAACTCATATTTGATAATTTTGTGCAGTGACCACCTCATCACATCTGTCAATAGTAAATACTGCAATCATGTGCAATACTGCCATTTCAGAACGTTCCCTGAATGTCACTTTATCTACTTTATTTACTTTATTTAATCTGCCATATGTGCAAACTTACAGTATTCAAACATATACTTATTGCTCCTATTTGTCCTGTAAGTGCGCTGCAACCCTGACATTTCCCTACTGAGGGACGAATAGGCTTCTCTCTTATCTCATCTTTTCCCCAGATAAATCCTTCCTATTAAAATCTTAAATATACAGTAGAATATTAAACATTTTGATTGACAGGGACCAGTGCATCCTCACCTTGTAGTTGGAGTGTTGCGTTGTGTAATGTTGATGATGCAAGTTCGATAACATTGGTACAAAGAGTCAAATTGAAAGTACTTCTGTGAATGTGGAGCGGTCAGGCTGCTCTGCGTGTTCTGGTAAGTCTGGGGCCGGGTCACTGACCGAGACTCTACTATGGGACTATTGTTTGCTTTGGCTGCAGCTGTTTCCCAAAAGGACTCTTTCAGTGGCTTGACATTTGTCCTAAAATATGAATATATGGAGACAAAATAAACTGGAATCTGAAACATTTTGCTCCCACTTTTGTCCTCTTTGATTTCATTTGGCAACATGTATTTACAAGGAGGAAGTGACTACTATCTGGTCCAAGTTTCAGAAAAACACTGTACATAGCTTGAATTCCTTGATGCTGAACATTCAATGAATCATCTAAAAATACTCAACTATCAACTTTTTCACATCCTGTATTTTACTTCTCTTTAGCACAAACATTCAACTTACAATTTGAAACCAATATATGATTATTCTGGCTTACATGCAACTGGGAGCCAATTATAGAAATTAGACAAACATGTACTACATCGGTTGTATAGCACTTATTTGGACCCAAGAACTCTTCACATGTGATTACTCGTTCACCCGATACACAGTCGTGGTAAACTACTATTCTAGCCTTGGCTGCCCTGGGACAGACTGAGAGAAGTGAGGCAACCACTCCCAATCAGCCCCACCAGACTTATATTAGGCAATGTGAGTGAAGTGTCTTTCCTAAGGACACAACAACAGTGGTGTTCCCAGAGGTCTGCAAGTAAAGGCTTGATATGTCACTTTGCGTGTACTGATTTTGTCACATATTAGTTTCAGTTCAATCATGAAATTAAATGGATTTCTGAACAATATTCTAATTTTCACTGTTATGGTTTTAAGCATACTTTCATAGTCTATGTTTTTTCTGACTGCTTACCCATGTCATGTTTGACCTCCTGGACTGGACTTGAAGACCTATTTTTAATGGACCAAATCTTCCTACAATAGATTGTTTGGTACCAGTTTTATCTTGTCTGCAGTCATGCATCTAGAAAAATTTGATTATGGATGACTGGGTAGCGCTTACATCTTAAAACAATTTTTTTCTTGCTTATTTTTCTGTTCATAATTACCATGAAGATGATCTAAGCTGTAGCAATCAACAAGACAAGATTATAAAGATTATCCTCGCTCCCTTCATAAATCAGGTTTTATTTTGAGTAAATTTTACGACCATGTTTGTGTTATGAAAATATTTATATCACTTTCCAATTGATTATTATTTTCCCTCTATTTTTCTAGACAAAACAACTTGTTGTGCAGCCTTTTTGAATACAGCTCAAGTGTTTCATGATGAATACTGTGGTGCACAAAGACCTCATTGAAAAGCCCTTTGATTTCCACTTAGTCTGATTTATTGTCATTTCCTTGGACACACAGTAGCTGCCGTCTGTGTGGATAGACGTAGGAAAGTCTTATTGTATTTACCACATGAGTAAACCCTGTCTCTCTTGTTTTCTTTCCTTTTCTTCTTCTAGCAGAGTCTGTGGATAAGGTGGGCAAGTGCCGAAGCTGCAGACAAGGATGTGCGAGAGATGCGAGAAGAAAGGAGGAAAATAGTGTCGGAAGCAGCAAAGCAAAGCAATAGAAGATCTCTGGGATAAAGACGAAACCAGCTGTTGATGATGAAGCCGATAAAGAAGCAAGGCCGGCGCTCTCCTCCGTCAACCCGGACCAAAGGGGGGAAGAAGCGAGGAGCTGGGGACATTTCAGACGGAGGCGAGAAAAGAGATTCGGATGAAAATAGAGCAGTTTCGCCACAGACTCAAACTTCAGATTATTTGCAAGAGCCAATCAGAGGGAGGGACAGTTCGAATGGGGAGGGGCTCTGCAGAGAGGGTTTGTTCGATGCAGATTCAGGGAAACTGTTGATGTCTTCAGATGAGGTTTCAGGTCGTTCGGTTGTGAGCAGCGGAAGCCATAGCGACAGCGGCGGTAGCAGTTGGAGTAATAGCAGTACACCAAGCGCTAACAATAGCCCCAATCATGCGTTGAGCCGGAAAACAGCCACTTTCAAGGCTCGAGTCCCGAAAAAGAAATATACATCTGAACACTGCTCATCATCTGGGAACAGCCATCCAGCTCCCAATTCCTCACCTCCGCCTCACAATCAATACTCTGTTAGCCAGGCGCGACCAGTTCAAGAAGCTGAAGTCTCGCAATCCCAAAACAGAAGGCTAATAGAAGATTTCCACAATAGCAGGATAAGCAGAGACAGCTCCCCAGGACCACCCACATTAACGCTTGCGACGGAGCAGGAAAGACCAGTTGGGGCGGAGGACAGAGTTTCACCCAGTCCGCTGCCTAGATGCTCCTCCACCGACACAGCAAGTGAGCATTCCGCCGATCTAGAGGTGGTCAATGAAATGCGTGTCCCAATGGGGCTGCCTGACTTGCTTTCAGACGCCCTGGCGAAAGGATTGAAGAACCAGCGTATCCTGGCTCGACTACCGAGGAGGAGAGGGGAGGATGGCAAAGATCCTGAAGATACTGAGAATTCTGGGTTGGCGTTTCGAGCTGGTATCGTCCGAAAGGTCAACGGAGAATTTGGACATCTAGAGGTACAACTCAATGGTGAAAAGACTCTGCTGAGGTATCCATACAGGCGTGATAGCACTTCTGCGCCTGTGGACATAATTCTTGATGCCCCACCTCCAGGAGTCCACCCCATTCCAATTGGAACTCGAGTTTGCGTCCCATTTGGGAGTAAGGAGGCCATCGAAGGACAGTGGTACAGAGAAGGTGTGTTGAATCAAGTTGATTCTCACCCCGCAGTGTCCCATCGGTACAGAGTCGTTCTCACAGACGAAAGACACCTATCTCTCAATCATGAAGACATCACTAACACCACCCAGGCTGTTTGGGTGTCCAGACAAACACTCCGCCTCCTGGTGCCACCCTGGGACTTGGACCTGCCTTCTGTTGGAGCTTGCAGAGAAGCCGAAGAAAGGGTTAGGGAAAAGGAGAGGGAAGAGCGCGAGGATTTGGATGTTGAAGTTTGTGGAATGACTTCTCGAATGGGGCCAGTGATGGGAAGAGGGATGCCATTTCCTGGTATGGTACCGGTCACGTCATCAGTCGGTCATAGCATCGCATCGCCGGTCACGCCTGCATCTGTCCTGAGTCTGGCTCCGGGGCGCGAATGGGATATCGAGAAGGGACGGGAGCTTCAGAGGAAACAGGAGCGAGATAGAGAAAACAACTCCAAGCCACCACAAATGCCCTACATGCCACTGACTCCGGAGGATGACATGGAAGTGTCCATTTTCAACATGGTCCCAATGGGGCCGATCATACCTGGGGCCAAACCAATGACACTTCCGCAACCACATCCACGCCACATCCTCTCAAAGCACCCACCCCCAACAGGCTACCTCAACCCATTGTCAGTGGTGCGGGGCATGGTCCCGCCTACGCACATCACCCTACAATCCCACCCCCCTCCCTCTCCTATAATGCTCGCACTGGACCCAAATGCAACCGTCATCACCAACCCCCAGCTCCCACCTCTCCCACAAATCTCCTCTTCTGCAGTGCAGGTTTCGCGAATGGATAAAGTCTCAGGATCTTCGACTGGGGGAGGTGGGTCGGGTTCAGGCTCAACCTCTTTGTCCTCCTCTCGGTCTCGTACTCCGCTCACAGCAGCGCAGCAAAAGTACAAAAAGGGGGACGTGGTTTGCACCCCGACTGGAATTCGCAAGAAGTTCAACGGAAAGCAGTGGAGGAGGTTGTGCTCAAGAGAGGGCTGCTCCAAAGAGTCGCAAAGGCGGGGGTATTGCTCTAGACACCTCTCTATGCGGACTAAGGAAATGGAAGCCACTGGAGGCGGTCGCGACAGAGGCGGGGCAAGCAGCACCGGGACTCTCACTCCGTCTGATCTCCGGATGAGTGGAGGTAGAGCCAGTTCGGAGTTCGACTGGGATGAAACTTCTAGCGACACCAGCAGTCGTGGGGCAGATTCACGGCCTCGTCTGGTCCTCCCATCGCTGCTGCCCCAAGATCTGTCCCGCTTTGACTTTGATGAGTGTGAAGCAGCCACCATGCTTGTGTCGCTCGGCGGTTCGCGCTCTGGCACACCATCCTACTCCCCCATATCCAACCAATCCCCCTTTTCACCGACACCATCTCCTTCCCCGTCTCCGCTTTTCGGCTTTCGATCTTCAAGCTTCAGCCCGATCACGTCCCCTGCTTCATTAACTCCTCGTCGACCTCGTCAGCTCAGTGGGACAAAAATCAGCACCCCAGGAGCTGAGAGGGAACGCCACTTGTCTGGAATAGTCCCAACCTTCCAAACCAACCTCACTTTCACAGTACCCATGAGCCCTAGCAAACGTAAAATGGACTCGCACCCTATCCCGCCTCTACCATCCATTCAGGACTACCAAAACAAGTCCGATCCACAGTTGGTGGGAGTCGCCGGGACAGGGCTGGGCGATCCAACTTTAAGCCCAGCGTTCAGAGTTCTATCACCTCAGAGTCAGCCAGCAACCCCCTCCTCGCTATCCTTCCCCAGGCCTCGCAGTGCTACCAGCAGACCCCCATCCTCTGCCGCTTCTACGCCTCCACCCATGCTGGTATCCCCCACGCCACCATCTCCGCTTCCTCAGGAGCCCTCAGCACGCCGCATAGTACCCCTCCGGGACTCCCCGGTCATCGTGCGTAACCCCGACGTCCCATTGGCGAAGTTCTCGGACGGGCCGTTGGGGAGGAGGGAAAGAAGCAGGTCCAGAGAGCACAGTCAGCCTCAGCATCCAGCACCTCCAGGACTCCAAGCCCCTGTTCCCATCAACGGGGCAGCTCCGAACGGGACAGTCCTGCTGAGGAACACTTCGACACTGGTCCTGGTCACCTCCAGCTCAGTAAGTGAAAAACTGCAATGATTGTATTTCAACTAGGAGACACTAATCTTAAGATGTTATACAAGCTTTTTTTCTTATATACACCCTTTCTCCATTAAATCTGATTGTAGTAAGAAATTGGCAAAGTGCGATTTTATTGTCTTTACTAGTTGAATTGAAATGGCCTTTCAAATTCCCCAGTGCATTATCTAATTTTAGTGTTTTATTCTCCAGCAACTGAAAACTCTTCTCAGCTTACTCGGTATTCTCGTCTTGTGACAGTAAATGATTATGGTGTCAGGAATGTGCGAGAAACGAGGAATAGCTCTAGAAGGCAGAGAAGTGTGTTGTATTGGGACAACAACTGGGATTCTAGGTTCACAACGCAGACATACAGTATAATGCAAAATCGTCTCTTTTGGCTTTTAATCATGTTAAATTATTGTTCCCTGATCAAAACCGACCTGGCGTTTTAGCTACATCCATATCAGGAAAAAGGAAAAACTCTCTTCATATAAACTGCCAAGAAAACAAGTCACATGACCGCAATGACCAATGTTATTGCTAGTCAAACTATTATATCCACTTGTGTGCAGCCCGCCCACTCAGACATGTGTGGGGAAGGTGAATTAATATCAAATATAAAGCAAGATGATTTTTGTAGGATTTTATATGAATGGAGAGTTTTTTTCCCCCTAGGGTTACATTGGCTTCTGTGTGCTCCTGTGTTCTGTGTGTTCCTGGTGTTTGTCCTGGTCCCTGTACTTGCTTCTGGTCCATGTGTGTTGCTGGTCCCCGTGTTCTCCTGATTCCTATGTGCTGCGAGTCCTTGTCTGTTCCTGGTCCTTGTGTGTTCCTGGTGTCTATGTGCGTCTGGTCCCTGTCTGCTCCTGGTACCTGTCTGCTCCTGGTCCATGTGTGTTGCTGGTCCCTGTAAGTGCTGTCAGAGACCACCTAGACTGCTTCGGGAACATGATCTCTGCTCCACATGCAACAGCACATTTTCTACACGTTCACATGTGCATTACTTGGACAGGTGCACGAGGGAAAAGAAACATACAAACAATCATTTTACATCAGTCGATAAAAAGTCTGTCACTATGTGGGACACAATCTCACTAATCTCATAAATAATACAGAAGAAAAATGCAGACCGTATGGATTCATAACCATGTGGGCAGGACTTAGGATGGGTACATTTCAATATTATTAAGGGTTGTGTTCCGTACAGAGTCTGAAATAATCAATGTAAATTCTGCTAAATACAATAGTTATTTAAAGCTTGGGTACCTAACTTTCAAATTATGTCATAAAATCGACTATCACTAGTTTTCCCACGCATGTCTTTTTGGCCTTTGTCATATCTTCAAATCTGCTTTTACAGACAGAAAAGTGAAAAATAAGGGACCACCCTCTTTCAGCCAATCAGCACCTCAGGAGTCAAACAGTGACTCAGGAGTCTCTGTGGTACATGTTTGCAAAAGATAACATGTTTTCTAATAAGAGGAAGCCTGTTGTGGTCTGATTTGTTCAAAATATCTAACTTTTATAAATGCACATATGTTGGGAAAAACAAAATAGATCGACCATCCGCAAAGAAAATGCGTCTTTTGTGTTCACTTGTATATAGTAGTAATTTTAAAAGATTTTTACATAGATTTCTTTAAGCATGCCTTTTATATATTATTACTCATACAGCTTGCCTACAGCTTGAGCCAAAGCTAATTCCTAGTTTGTGACTTCCTGTTACTTACAACGGCAATAAAAATAATTCTAATTCTGATTTCAAACTGTCCCTCTCTCTTGCAGTCCTTGACTCCAGCCACAGGGGGCTCCACTCCCCTGTCCAGCGCCTCCACTCCGTCCTCTGGCTCCGTCCTGTGCTCCTCTGGGTCCGGGGGCAGAGAGAGGGAGCGCCGGTCTGAGGGAGGCCATCAGGACTGCTCGGGGGTGCTGCCTCAGCCGGTGGCCTGTCACCCCACTCCCACCGCCCTCCTGCCCCTCATCCTGCCCGCCGAGTCCCCACACCCCGCCCCACGCAAGCAGATCATCATGGGACGTCCCGGCACCGGTAAGCACGCGGGAATATTAAGATAAAGAGATCCATTTATTCGTCCCACAGTGGGGAAATTTCAGTGTTGCATCACCAGTTACAGAACAGTAGCAATAAGATAAATGAATTATAGCTCAAATCTAATTTCAACCTAACTTTTGCAGTATAAGGAAGAAATCTATAATCTCCAACTTTAGCATAATGAAGAAGCAAGAATTAAGTACAGAATTTCTGACTTTAGCATAATTAGGACAGATTAAAATCTCCGTGTCCTTCCACACTAAGAAGCTGGTGCCACGCCTCTCAGTTAAATTCAATTCAATTTATTTTATTTTTGTATAGCCCTAAATCACAACAGCAGTTTTCTCGGGGGACTTTCCGAAGCTGTTGATTTGCCAACACAGATCAGAGAATCAAACACAGGACCACATAAAGAAAGAGTTTATGGTCCATTTGTTCTTCAATTCCAGTTCCTTCTGTATTCTCAAGTTACAATCACTGCATTGGTATCATATGTAAGAGATGTTTGCGGGTTGGTTGCTGGTGTGTTTGTTGGTTGATTGCTGGTTAGTTGCTGGTTGGTTGCTGGTGTGATTGCTTGTTGGTTGCTGGTTTTAGTGAGACATTGCTACTTTGTTGTTTCCCTGGTTCCGTGTTGCAGACGGAGGACTCTCTGAAGCCTCAGGGGCAGACGCTCTGTCAGACTCACAGGAACAGATGTAGTGCATCGCCATGACTCATACTCTGTGTTTTACTACTACTACTACTACAACTACTGCTACTTCTACTACTGCTAGTATTACTACTACAACAACTGCTACTGCTACTACTACTACAACTACTGCTACTTCTACTACTGCTAGTATTACTACTACAACTACTGTTACGGCTACAACTACTACAACTGCTGCTACAGCTACTACTACTACACATTCTACTACTGCTGCTACTTCTACTACCACTACTACTACAACAACGACAACAACTGCTACGACTACTTGCTATGCTGCTGGCACAGCAGAGAATCGTGACGGTACGACTGCTACTACTACTTATACCACTACTGCTATTGCTGCTACTACTATTACTTTTGTTCTTACTGCTGCTACTGCTACTACTTCTGTTCTTACTGCTACTGGCACAAATATGGAAACATGATGCTATTACTGCTACTACTACTACTACTACTACAGCTACAACTACTACTGTTAGAAAGATTAATTCGATTAAATTAATGTATTCTTGTATTGCCCTAAACCACAACAGTAGTTTAACAAAACCATTGAAATCACCAACATAGATCAGAGAATGAACAAATATACAACACATGGTATTGGTCCATATGAGCTGACCAATGTCCATTAATGTAGATAAATGTCCAGATATGTCGGGTTCAGGGGTTCCATGAAACAGAGGGACTCTGGTGAAGATGATTCAAGCTGTGTTTAGATTCACTTCACTTTTTCTTGGAATAAACAGAGTCAACAGTTTCATGTTGTGTTTGTTGTTTCAGCAAAATGACCTCAGTATCACACCAGGCTTTAGGACACACCTTTGACTTTCAATTCTCTATATGTATTGATAATAACTTCTACAAACACACACATACATACTTACAACATATGCACGCATGCACGCATACATACATACTTACAACATACAAACACACACATACATACTTACAACATACAAACACACACACACATACACACATACATCCATACATACTTACAACGCACACACACATACACACTTACAACGTAAAAACATACACATAAATACTTTCAACACACAAACACGCACTTATACATACTTTCATACACACACACACATACATACTTGCATCATACACACATACATACTTACATCATGCACACATACATACATACATAAATACTTATAACACACACACACGCACAAGCACACACATGCATTCATACAACATACAGACGCACGCACAAACATACATATACATACATACTTACAATATGTACTCATTTATACTTACATAATACAGACACATAGACACACACACACACACACACACATAGTTTCATAAAGTATTAACACATTATAAATCCACTTAGTCTGCTGCAAACTCACTGCCTCCAGATGTTAAAAGCCAGATAATAATTATTTTCACAAATTTGAAACACGTTTATTTTCTTCTTATGTAAATGTTGTGCGTCCATTGAACCCTCCACGCCAACTCTGCTCTGGAAAGTCGGAGGAAAACAATTAGTGATTCTCTGCTTTCTCTTTCAAAGGTATTATGAATAATAAAACTGTTTCTGAACGTCAGGCTTTGAAATTACCCAGAGAAAAAACGAGGCATTCTAAGCATTGTTTACTCTACTCTACCCTGCTCTACTGTACTCTACTGTACCAGACTCTACTCTACTCTACTCTAACAGACTCTACTCTACTCTACCCTGCTCTACTGTACTCTACTGTACTCTACTCTACTCTACTCTATTCTAACAGACTGTACTCTACTCTACCCTGCTCAACTCTACTCTACCCTGCTCTACTGTACCCTACTCTACTGTATCCTAACCTACCCTTTCGCTACTCTACTCTACTCTTCTCTACCCTACTTTACTCCACTCTACTCTACCCTACCCTAACTCTACTCTTCCACCATCCCTGTTTAACTGTTACCAGGTTCTATCCAGGCCCAGCTGGTACTAAAATGTACCAGCGGACAGTGATTGGCCAGAGGGCTATTGGAAGGCACGAAGGTCCACAGTACCAGATATCAAAGTAATCAGTAGAATAGAGTAGCGCAGAGTAGAGTAATTTCTATGGAAAGTCACAGTGGTATCGAGTCTGTAAAATGTTATAATTTCATTATCACAGACAGCACTAACTCCCATTTCTATTTACTAATATAATAATATAAATTCTAGGTAACATTATGGCCGCAATCCATTCTCTTCCGCTTTATCTCTTCCGCTTTATCTCTTGCCGATTCGTGGGGGCAGCAGTCTGAGCAGGGATGCCCAGACTTGGCTCTCCACACACACCTCCTCCAGCTCCTCTGGGGGGGTATACCGGGGTGTTACCAGGCCAGCTGGAGGACACTGTTCCTCCAGCGGGTCCTGGGTCTTCCCCGGGGGCCTCCTCTTCGGGCAGGTGGTTACTACGAGACTCAGATCTCCAAATGGAAAGTCATACTCACTGTGCTTCTGCTCTCCAAACACATTGAAGAGTGTACTAGAACTGTGGTAGTCATTTTAATTGTTATTCTGTTTCTCCTTCTATCTTTTTGAGTTTTATCTTCTACTTTTTAGTACCCCCCCCCCCCCCCCCCACTAAACTACTGCATACTATATGTCTACGCCACTTATTTACGTTCATATGGCTGCATTATATGAGGCCGTGCGAGAACAGGGAAGGCACAATTTTAAACAGTTGTAATAAAGTTTGTTGAGGACAGGTCTGTTGTGATTTTTCAGAAACATCATAGTTCATCAAGAGACAATAGAAGTGCAGATGTGTAAATCATCAAAGGCATGACCCAAGGATTTGTAGCCCATTGCTGGTTTATTTACCCCAAACCTTTAGCCATTAATTGTTTTGGAGAATATGAATAATGGGGAGGCAGCGTTTTAGATTTATAAAATATGAAACAGTCTTCCTGAAAATGTGAGACCAGCTTATTTTCTGGCAATGCTAATTTCAGGGTTAAAATCAGTTTTGATTAGCTGTACATACAAAGGATTGAATCTTCTATGATGTATTATTATTATTGATTTTAATGTCTTCTTGTTAACCACATTGTGTTGCCTTGTGGATGAACTGTGCTATACAAATAAACACGCCTTGCCTTGTTGCGTTGTGGTGGTTTAGTTGTTTGTGCTACACGTTTGTAGTGTTGAATATTTAGTGCAGTTGTTTTGTGAGGGACAGCTGAAGGGACAAGTCCAGACTAGTCCTGCAGCAGGACATCCACACCCTGCACACACACACACACACACACACGTGCACACACACACACACACACACACACACACACACACACACACACACACACACGCGCGCGCACACACACACGTGCACACACCCACACACGTCCACACACGTGCACACACCCACACAAATACACACACACATGCACACGTACACGCTCACACGCATACACACACATACACACGAACTCATACACCTACACACATACACATGCATACACACAGACAGACACACACTTACACACAGACACACACATGCACACACACATTCCCACACACAACATACACACACACACACTTGCACAAACACACACGCATACACATTTGCACACATGGCGCATGTACTTACACACAGGCACACAAAAAGTCACGCACACACACACTCACACACTCACACACACCGGCACACCCAAACACACACACATAGACACAAATACACGCACACAAACACACACACACAATCATTTATGGGATTTTAAGATATGTGTTATACCTGTGTTATCTTTTAATTATTTAGTTAATTGTGAGACTTTGCTCGTTTGTTATGGTTCCAGTTTACATATTTACCTAATTTACATATTTTTGGAATTTCATGTGCTGTATAAAACACCATACACAGAAAAAAATCACTATATTAGTTCATTTCTTTAGTCCAGTTCAACCCTCCTCTTATCATTTACTGTGATATCTTCAGAATGTTCTTACTCTTGCCTGAATCAAAACACAGAGAAATTACAGATGTCAGTGGTTTTGTGAAAGCATCGGCTGCAAATGAACTGGTGTCGTCTCGTATTGTTGCTGCGTTGTCGTGGAGACGCTGCTTTTCCGTTGCTTGAATTAGTGTTGTTACGGCAGGCTTTATTACACAGTTTCAGCTCTCTTCCTGTTTTCTCCCTTTGCCACAGCTGCTGATTGTGACAAATGTGCAGAATACTCCATCGTCCTTCAGCCAGAACTGTGAATCACTGTCAAAATGTCAAGCGGATCCAAATCATGTGATATTTTTTACTCAGACTTCTCAGTTATTATTCTTATTTTCTGCTGGGT